TCAATAACTCTTTCTCCAGCACTAAATGTTGATTTTGATGGTACTATAGAGATTGATACAAATCTTATGCTCTCTCAAAGATAGTATTGGTGAAGGAACGAACCTAGGTCCTTCCACCACCTACCTAGTTCACATGCACCAATTGAACTATCACCGTTTGGTACTACTATGAATAATACTATTTTATTTAATTTAAAATAAATAATGATATAAGCATGTCTGGAGGCTTATCGGCCCGGAATGTAAAAAAGTCCTATCATATACTTTCTAAATAAGCTTCTTTAAAAGCCCGGATCTGTTCTATTTGACTATAGATAATAGGCTAAGCCTAACCTGATATAGCTAGGCTATAGGCCCTTGTAGGCCGGTTCAGCCCACTTTCACTCCTAATCGTGACCTATAGCTTGAAAAATCATTTTTTAAATTTTAAAAAGCTCTAAAAAATCTGTTATTTTTGAGGTGGATTATATTTTAATATTGTTGATTTGTTGTTTCTAGGTTATTTTGTGATAAAAATAGCTCAAAAGTTTGCTGATTTTGAGCTTTGACGAAGCTCCCATGGTGGAATCGGGTTTCGAGCGGGTCAACCCGCCAAAGGAAGAAGACACTACGATATAGAAATATCAAGAAATCCTAGGGTTAGGATGAGATTGTGAGACATGTAGCGTATTTACATTTCTAACTAAAAAGTCTCATGCAATCCCACTAATAGAAAATTGATTAGAATTGTCAGATTGTTGAGTACTAGAAGATTATTTTTCTTTGTTTAAAATCCTGATTGAATACCAACAGATTTGAATAGACTTTAAAATAATTTTATAAAATCTTAATCGAATACCACGTGAGTTTTTTTTTCAATCCTTTAAAATCCTAATTGAATATCAATGAATTTTTTGTCCAAAAATAATCCATTAAAATCATTTGAAATTTCAATTCAAGACATCACCTTATGTCTGACTAGTAAAACATAAAAATTGCATTTTCTTAAAATTGTCAGATTGTTGAATACTAGAAGATTATTTTTCTTTTTTTAAAATTCTGATTGAATACCAACGAATTTGGATAGACTTTAAAATAATTTTAGAAAATCTTAATCGAATACCACGTGAGTTTTTTTTCAATCCTTTAAAATCTTAATTGAATATCAATGAATTTTTTATCCAAAAATATTCCATTAAAATCAATTGAAATCCCAATTCAATACATCACATTATGTCTAACTAGTAAAACATAAAATTTATATTTTCTCTCTCCATCATGTCAGCTGACAATGTAAAGAGAAAAAAGAACAACTTTATTATTATTAACTATGTCTTACTGGTCAGACTTAGTTAAAAAAGGATAATTGTAGATAATGTTATCTAAAGTAGATGCATAAATGCTTTTTCCATATATATATATAATCATTTGACATCGATGTCAAACTAAAAAAGTTAGACACTAAATCTTAACCATTGATTTTTGTCAATCTAGGAGTTATAATTTATGAAGAATTAATAATTAACTAATAAGTGTAACCTAATAAATTATAATTGTTAACGATTAAAATTTGATGTCAAACTCTTTAGTTTGACACTAATGTCAAAAGATATTGTCCATATAGATTTTTTTTTCACGGGTTTGATTTTTTCGTATTGTATGAGATGAAACTACACACAAAATAGTGCATAGACCCCATGTGAAAAGAGAAAAAATTATTGATCCCAAACAATTTTATGTATATAAAAAAAATAAAATTATCTTCTACAACATAAAAGATATTAAACTCATATTTTACTAATCTGTTTTTTAAGTTGTAAAAAATCAGAAATCTTTAAAACTAAATTATTATGTAGTAAAATATTATGATAAACACAGTTCGAAAAGTATAAATAATAATAATAAATTCATATTCAATATTATGGGAGCCCTATTAAATATCTTCCTATCTTTTAGTAGAGGAACTTCTTGCCCAAGAAAGCGCAGATCCCGTCTTGCATTTTAAGGTTAGATAATAAACACAACGGATGGAGCAGATGTTGGGCAAGTGGCTTCTTACACAGGATGTTTATGGAATATCTAGAGGGGATTGAATATGTGTTCTAAACTTTTTTAAAGTCTTTTTAAATTCAGTAAACAATTTTACAATTTTTCTTCAGTCCCGATATGCCTAAAATAAATTTTCACAATGCTAAGAACAATGTAGTAACAGAATGCGTACCTTAGCAATTTATAGAGTATAAACGCAGTAATGTAATTTTCTTAAACAAAACAGAAAAATATTAATTTCCAAATACAGAAAACAATTTAAGTGCTACAACAATTATAGTAGAACCAGTAAGGTGCTACAACACACTAAAATTAGAATCAATGTACTGTCAGTCTCCAAACAAAATATTCAGAAATTAAATCAGAGAGACAAGAGACACACGATATATCCTGGTTCACACCTACTAAGCCAAAGTAGGGTGCTACTAAGCCTAAGTAGGTGCTACGTCCAGACTGAAGTAGCTGCAAATATTTTATTTATCACAAGTGTACCAGTTTTACAAACCCGCGTCACACATGCAATCAAACAAGATATCAAAAAACTTCCCAGTGCCTACACTGCTCCAAGCTCTGAGAATACTTTCAAGCCAAACCTACAGAGTTCACCAACTCCTCTCACAAGACCTCCAGTCTCCCTAGTGGATTCTTGAGGCTTCAGGCCTTGAGACACACTCTCAAGCCAAGCACAAGGTCGCCAACCCATTGCTCCCACACAACTAGGACAGATTTACAGCACGCAACTACTCCACTTTAACAATCAATATAGAATTTTTCAGAACTGTAACAAGTGAAATAAACCAAAATTACAGTGTCCTATCGCACCAAATATGTCAAGGTAATATCAAACTAAGCTCCACAAATTTATGCCATATGCAGAAAATTAATCCAATGACATAGGTATTAAAATCTCTAAAATTAATGCACAAAGGAGCTTGGATATTAAACAATGGACACTAAAAAATCTGATTTAAACAGAAAATATCACAATAAAAATATCAAAATCAGATTTGGAATTTATCTCAAAATTTCACATAAAATTCAGAATTAGTTCTAGATAAATCTTTTAATAATAAACCAAAAGAAATCTGAATTTTAATCACAATATACTTCAATTAAACAGAAAATTCAGATTTAATATTCCAACAATAAAATTTCTAGAACAATTCAAGATTAGGTTTCTAAACAATAAATCCCAAACAAAAATCTGAATTAACACAATGTATACCAAGGTGTAAAGATAAATTCAGATTTAATATTTTTAATCAATATTTCACAAAAATTAAAAACACAAATCTTACACAAAGAAAATACAAAAAATCAAATTCTAAATTTTAACAGTAAATTTTTATACCAATGAACAACTCAAGATATTTAATATTTAGATTAAACAACTCAAAATCCCTAAAGCATGTGAAATAATAGATCTGAAAATTTCAGATTAAATGCTTCAAATAAAATTATTTAAGTTGATTAGAAAATACCACAATGAAACCCCAAATATTTCAGTCAAAGAACCTAGAAATTTTTCTCCAAAAAAATATACACCCACCACAAGGAAATAAGGAACGAAATTTTTCTCCAAGAGATATGAAAACCGAGAGGTGAGAAACAGAGTAGAATCAGCGCTCCTTTCTTTAATTTTCTCATAAGATGGAAACTCAAGAAGTTGTTAAACACAAAGGAAATTGAACTGTTGAAAAAATAGGACGAAACGAACTTCTACAGAACGAATATCAATATCACAGTGCTAATCTCGTGACTTTTCTTTTTGATTGGTAAAGTGTATTTCCTTTAACACTTTTTACTATTATATATTATTTTCACACAAAGTCCAACGACGTCAAATAGTGGAGCATATCTGATAATCTTATTTTTCAAATTGGTGAAATCATTAAATGAGTTTTATTATTATATTTTATTTCACTAACCAATGTTAGTTTTTAATTCAAAACTTACTTTTGTTTATTATATTATTATTTTACTTTCCAAAAGCTAAAACTCACGTAACATTTTTGAAACCTGGAAAGCTATTTTATTTTTATTATATTTATTTAATTGTTTTAAATCTTAATCATAACAAATAAAATTAATGATTATTATTTACTATGAAATTAAATGCATGAAAATGCAATGATATGTATTAGCATATCATAGAGCTTATACCTAATCACTTGTATCTTCAAAGTCTAATTTGAATTAGGAGGTCTTTAGCAGTCATCCACATGTCACACAAATAGAAAGTTCATTTGTCTCATTATACAACAAAAACCAGAGCCAAGAACAGAAAAATCTTATCTAAAATTGAAGATCTCTTCATATTCATTATTGTGTTCTGACGCGAGAGATTTACAACTTGGGTGAGATCAGTTTCATGTCTGATGCATTCATACTACTACCTTTTTTTTTTTTTTTTGATACTACTCCTTTAATTATATCGTATACACTACCATACATCATGTTTAACTTTTTAACTTCATTAATGCAAAGCCTGATTTATTGGAAAAGATTTATGATTTCAAAAAGTGTTCAATTAATTTCTCGTACAACTCTTGAAGGAAAAGCACTTGCATGTTTTTAGTCATGGGTCAATTACATAATTAAATCTTTGCCGTCTTTTTCTTGTTTATCCAAAATTACACTATTTGGCTACTACATTTTATATAATCCTCTAAATCCAGGCAAAGCGTTTTCTACTATATATCCATATTATTTCCTGCCTCTAGATGTATTTGTTCCGAGTTTATTAATTAATTTGTCTTAACACACATCCGCTGAATGGTACTGAAGGCATAAATTCTTACATATGAACGGCTTCATTATTTACATATACATATATATGAACCCAAAAGACATTCATTTTAATTTGTAATAATATGCATACATAAATTTAAAACATATCCATCCCCTGTTATATATTTAACAAGGATACTAGAACATTGTTAAAGACGAGAAACAAGTGCAGTTAAGGATTATCAGACACGAGTGCCAGTAACAGGAACACCTGCACCCTTGTGCATTGGGTGATCACCAGTAGCCCCTCCCACACCATAGTCAGTGTCACGGTAACCAGGACCATATCTGCTGCTGTATAGCCCTGCATGGATCAACAAAAGGTACAGTAACTGTGTGAAGGTTAGGATGATTATGAAGGCCTCCACTACCCTCAGTCTCCACCCTCTGTGTCCTCCTATGTGTATCTCCTTGCAAGCCAACCTGTTCCATTTCACACACACAGAGAGATAGAATAAGATTTGAACCATTAAAAAAAATTACAATAAGACCAAGTATCATATAATAGTGTATAATATTTGAAAAGTAATATTTTCCATAAGAAAAAAAAATAAAAATGGCTCTACAAATTAAGTGTGTGTGAGTAAGACAGGGTGCTTTAATCATGGTTTACCCAAAGGCTAGAGCAGTCACAGCCCAAGCAATTATAGATGTGGCTCCTGCAGATGCTAAACTGTCACTTCTCCATGTTCTGAGGTGATTGCTGCCAATTAATTTCGACACTATGCCCAGAACCGCTGCCAGTATAGCAAAGATCAAGAAGAACATGGTCGCACCATTTCCTCCAAAACCTGAAAGCAACATAATAAAGGGTCACTCTGACTCTTTTCTCAAATTGTAAGTGTGAAACAAATACAAATTTGTTAATTTAGTTTAGACACATTAATTCCAAATTTGTAAATCAATAAATGTATTTTAGTGTCAATTATTTGTGAAGTTAGAAAAAGTGAGTAACTTTTTGTTACATGAATGATAAATCAATCAATCAATCAATAAATTGGTATATATAATAGTGAATGTAAAATGGTGAATAAAGAGATAGAGAGGAAGTTTAAACTTACTGGGGTGATAGGTTTGGCCATTGATGAACCTGTTGAGACACCAACTTGCAAAGCCAAGTACAATCACATACATGAGCAAGTTAAGGAACAGCAAAGGAGCTGCTACGTTCCTTCCCACTGTAGCCATGCTTCAGTTGCTAGTAATTTTTGGTCTTTCACAAACACACTGAAATTCCTCACAGAGAAGTGCTTGCACCGATTTACACTTTCCTAATCTTGTTTTTCGTTGTTTAGTGTGGCTCTAGAGGCTGGCATTGTGCAGCCATATATAGAGACTCCAAAGGTTCTTTAAGACACGTGTCAATCAATAAGGTTTTGCACTTGTGCTCTAGCATACAGGTGGTAGGACACTTGTCGTGTTTTGTCACTAAAGTGTCTCTATGTTTTAATAAAACGGTGCATTGTCTAAAAAAATAAAATAAAAAAAAATCAACGTTCCGCTTGGATGAATCTAGATCCCAAGGGTTGGTTTTTGTATCTTTAATTAAGCTGTTCAAAATTAAGAACTAAAATTTAATAAATTTTAGATGCGTGCGTGTATATAGTTGAAATTCAGTTGCTGTGAGAAATATATTTAAAAAAAATTAATCAAACTCCAAAAACAGTTATATCTGCATTTAATTAGAGTTCTTGCAAGATTGGCTGTGTAAGTTGTATTTATCAGGGTGGTCTTGATTTATATATGACGTTTGCAGGGTGGAATATTTTCAGGGTGAAATATCCATTGGTTGAACAGTTGTGTAGAGCTTTCGTTCTAGAACATATCTTTTTATCCAATTGGACAAATATGATGAAAATTTTATAACAGAATATTTATTTACATTCATTTTAGAAATGTTAAAGTCTATTTTATAATTATTATTTTAATTTTGATCCAATAAAATAATAAAGAAAGTGATTGTAAAAAGTTGTAAGAAAAAATATGTTATAAGTATAACTTCTCCCTTTCTAAATTTAATGCTATAAATTAACAATTTATATAAGAGAAATAAAATTGTTATGTTATATGACATAATTTCTTTTTCTTACTCACTAAGGTGTGGGGGTCACTCCAATTTTTGTTCTCTTTTTTTATGTTGTGGAACCTACAATATTTATATGTCTATAACATGACATAAATTATGTTGTGTAACGTGACACTTCTATTTTTCTTTATATAATGCTACAACTTTGTATAAGTTTTATTTAGGAAAATTATAATTTCAGGTTGCTGTCACATAGAAATATGTGCATCCTTTTTCTTTTTTTCTTAAAAATCAATGGGTCCTTACCTGTTTATCTCTCAATAAGAGAATTTGTGTGAGAGAAATAATTCCCTTTTATTTATAACTAAAACAAACGTAATGTACACATATTATTATTTCATTATTTTACGGTACAGAACTTTTTAATATTTACGTAAAAATTATCAATTTGTGTTGGCTGAAGTGATGGGATTCGAGTCTTTTAACCACATGATATTGAATTTAATTCTAAAATATGTATGGAACAAATATTATTGAACGGGAATTCGATTTATGGTGTCCATCCCTACTTTGAGATATTGATTTTTCACTTAGTTGGTGAGTACGAGAAGGAAAAAAAAATATTAATCTCATAATTTAATCAAATTCGTTATTATTAGTTTTTTAAATGTTCGTATTAAATGAATGTATTATATATGGGAAAAAGTGTATTATTTTAAATGACACACCTTATATCCTTTCCTTCTCACAAAGAGATGAGATCCACGTATTTAAAACTTTTTTTACCCATTCTTTCTCTTATAATATATCTCTTTCTCTCTGAATAACACAATGGTATATATAAAAAGGGGAATGCATCGCTAGTGTAACAGGAAATTATTTTTTTTTTCCAGCGGACACAGTTTTTTGTGGACCCATCTATTACTTTTTCTCTCCCTTTGAATCATTTTCTCTCTCCTAAAATATTGTATCCACAAGCTTTTGTTTTCTTAAAATAGCACCAATGCATTCATTTTCTCTCTCCTAAAATATTGTATCCACAGGACAAGCTTTTGTTTTCTTAAAACAGCACCAATGCATTTCCCATATAAAATCATTATCATTAGTAGTGTGCGTGTCTGAGAGGGTCACGTAATATCTTTTGTATAAGAAAACAAAGAATTGTGCAGCAAAATCATGTCAATTATCTGCAAATTGCTGGTTGCGCTGTCATGCGCGAAACCCTTGTTTCTGTAATCTCCTATGTTTCAGTGTCTTGTTGTTCCTCCTTGAACCGGTGCCTCTCAAGTATGTTCAGAAAGTATCCTCTGAAGGTGAAATTTTGAGCTTCTTTTTCATTTTCAGTCTTAGCATCTTCCTCATTTTGAAACAACCATTTGAGACATGTGTCTTTCTTTAAATGAATTTCATTATGTCAATGCTCCAAGTCATAGGTGTTCTTAAATCTGGGCCTTTTTTCTGTGGTCAGTTCTAGTTTTGTTTAAGTGAGAGGTTTGGACTTGGAGCTGCTGAGTTAATGTGATTTGGGTTTAAAAAAAATGAATTTTTATAATAATATTATAATTTGCAAACAAAGAAATGAAAGGAAACAAAGAGAAAGATAAGGTAGCTTTGGCTATACAAGTATGATTGCAATACAAATTCCAGTACAACTATCGTCTATAGTCAGCACACATGATATATAGTACATGTATAATTGCAATACAAAGTCGAGTGCAAACTCGTTCTTGCTGCGTAAGCTGTCAATCAATATAATCAAGAAGTATATATACTCCATTTACCTACCAAAATTTCCTATAGCTTGGTAAATGCTGATTCATTTTGACTTTTGATATTATCTATGACGAAAAACAGGTCGATGATGCGGGTCACATGGTTCTAATGGACCAGCCCAAGGCTTCATTAGAAATGTTGAGGAAGTGGACTCAGGGAACCCTTTCTAAATATGGAGACGGTGAGGAAAAATTGGTTGCTGAGTTGTAATCTCTTATATTGCAATAGTCTATCAAAAGGGGCATAAATAAATGTACTGTAGTAAAGAGAAGAAATTTGGGTGTAAGTGACCGGTGTGTGTTTTTCCTATTAACCTGAACACATATATCTAAAATGACACTGAGTCAAGGCCATGCAAGAAAACTATTCATATAGAATTTTATATCTGTATGGATACTGTTTTGGATTCTTATCTGTATCCTTTTATAAAATATAATAAACTACAATATCAAACATTACACTCTTTCTTTCTTTTTATTCTCTCTTTTTTTTTGGTAAACTATTATCTCTCTCTTCCTACCTTCTCTTTCACCCCTTTTCATCCCATTATCTTTATCTTTTGTGTGAGAAAATAATTTTAATGGACGAAAATCCCCATGATGTTTGGTTATGCAAAACACACTGAGTTAGGATTGACCTACGCGCCAAACTTTTTCTTTAATCAAAATTTTCGTTATTTAAAAAACTAAAAATTATATAAATTTAGATATTTATAAATATAAGTAAAATTTTTAGAGAATTTGATGAAGAATATAAGAGAAAGTAAAATATGAAAGAAAGGAAAATGAAGTGTGGGAAAAAAATAAGAATAAGTATGAGCAAAGAGTTTGTATAAGGACCTATCTTAGATGCATTTTTAAACATGGAAGTCTTGAAAAAATAAAGAGTCACATGTTATGAATCATGTGAAAGATCATTCATAATCCATGTGAAAGGTTATGCATAATCTATATGAAAGGTCATCCATAATCCATGTGAAATGTCATCAATAATATTTTACAATATCCCTTTGGATTATTCTACAATTCAACACACCATTAGTGTGATGATTATAGAATATATTAAAGGTCATGAATAATGAAAGAGTCACGTGTTATGAACCATATGAAGTTCATCCATAATATTTTACAACAAAAATTAATTTTTCAGTAAATTTAAAATTTAAAGCAAACAAATTAAAATAAAATAACTAAATAAACTAAATAACAATAAAAACAATAAAATATTAAACTAACACAGTAAAATAAATAAAAATAAAATAAAATGATCCAATCTATAATTTGATAAATAAAATTAATGTTGATTAAATCAGTCCCCGGCAACGGCGCCAAAAACTTGTTGACGAACTCGGCAAGTGTACCGGTCGTACAAGTAATAAAGTGATAAGAAAGTTGTCGATCCCACGGGGACTGATGACCAAGCAATAATATATTTATTTAATTAAAGTTGGATCGATCATTAAAGGTTTTCTTGAGAATATTGTGATTTAATTAAAAGCAGAATTTGTAAAACTATTTTTGGTTTTTAATATTTTAGAAATTAAATTCAGAATTCAGAATATTAGAAATTGAGTTTAGATTTTTAATAAAAAGGCGTAATTAGGATTCAACTTCCCCAATGATTTCTTAACGAGTTTGCCTATTCTTACGAGTACATTCAAGACTAAATTATTAACAGCTCTTTCTATAATTGACTAAATCTCAATCCCTTGGTAATTTAATTCTTTATTCTAATCCAAAGCCTAATTCCTTAGTACTTTTTCATAAAATAAGCATTAACGCAATAACTCACAGTTATAAAATTCACAAGTCTATCCCTAGATCATGCAAATTCTAGCAATCAACCAATCAGAATCATATACCAACATCCCTATTGTCATATATGACTCATATGTTTATCTACGAGTGATCAAGTCATAAATAAAACTAAGCATAACTATCAGACTGATTGCATAATTTAGAAACAAGAATGTAGTTCATAAGAATAAACAAACATCAACTAAGAACCCATTGGTTCTGTATCTTCATAACTACTAAAATAATTTAGCTACTCATAATTATAAAGGCAGAATTGAAATAAACAGTAAAAGAAACTGAGTTCATGATAAACTTGTCTAAAAGTGATGATCAATGATGCAGAAGTGCTTCCTTCCTTCTCCTCTGCAAACGATCCAGTGTTTTCTGCCGCTCCTTCCTTTGCTTTGTCTCGGTCTCTGACTCTTCCTTCGCGTTCCAGAATATATTTCACGGCTTCCTTCGCGTTGTATTTAAAGGGTGAAATTTGGGCTTCTGAAATTTGGACCCGCTCGCTGAGGAGCTCGCTGAAGCGAGCAACTCAGCGAGCACTTGTTACTGGTCGCTCTCTTTCTCGCTCGTGCGAGGACTTTTGC